CTTGAACTCTGTTAAGTGAGGCTAAGGGTGAATTTCCATTCTAAGTGAATAATGGTGTTGTTGCATCGAGTCAGTACCAACTCATAGCGACCTTATGCACAGCAGAATGAAACATTGCCCGATCCTGGGACAACCTCACTACTGTAGCCACGCATGAGTCCATCGATGCTCCCACTTGGCCAATCCATATCGTTAAATAATGGTACCTGCTCTTTATCTTTCTTTGCCCAGGAAGACAGAGACCCACCATTGTGGCTTACAGTTAACTGGGTTTTTGTCTTTCTCCCACTTGCCAGCTAGATATTTGGCAAGGGTTTGGGGAGGTAAGACTCAAGTCTGTTCCTCTCTGTACCTCCTACAGGACCTGATACCAAGACCAGGGATGTGTAAGTGAACATTTCTTAGAGAGAGTATATCTCAGTTGACCCTCAAGAGCTATAACTTCTAGTTTAAAAGGGAGTATCATGGAGTCCTGGTGTGGCGCTGTGAGCTAATGCGTCAGACTGCGAAGTCATTTGAAATGCAAGGTTGGTGGTTCAAGCTCACCAGTGGCTCCTTGGAAACCCTACATAGATAGGGTCGCTATGGGTCGGAATCGACTCGACGGCACTTAATAACAACAACAATCACTGCCTTATTATTTTAAAAGTGAGACTGTTAAGACACAGAGAGGTCTTAGCTGATGGGTGTCTGAGGTGACATTCGAACCCAGGTTCTGGGACACATTTTCCAGCTTCTTTCCTCAGGGTTATCACGTGTCCTTGATACCACTAACTCTCATTCCCTGAACACTGATGAGTGCTAAGGTCTTCATATACCAGTTACTGATGGATTGATTCCAAGTCACTGTGATCACATGTGTGTCAGAATAGAACTGTGCTCCATAGGTTTCCAGTAACTGTTTTTGGAAGTATATCACCAGCCTTTTCTTCCTGGCCAACTCTGGGTGGACTCAAACCGCCAGCCTTTTGATTTGCAACCATGTGCAATACCTACTGACCTGCATAAACTTTTGGTGGTGCAGTGGTTAAGCACTTGGCACCTAACAGACAGGTCAGCAATTAAAACCTAGCAATCTGCTCACATAAAGATTTCAGCCTAGGAAACTCTATGGGGCAGTTTATTCTTTTATAGAGAGTCATCTGAGATGAAATCAGTTGAACAGGGCACAACAGTGACCTTTGTATGTAGAATCTTATTTAATCTTCACAAGGACCTTAGAGTTTAGGGTACATCACTTCAGTTTTATACATGAAAGAAAAGAGGCCAATTGAAGCCAGTTTTTCCCAATGTAAACTAGGATGTTCCTGGGGTTCGACTCCAAGGCCTTCATGACTGTGGAGGCTAGTATCTTGACCACCAACCGCTCTGTTCTGTTAAACTCTGAGTTGACCCTTGTCTAGGTTTACCCAAAGCAAGAAGTGCTCTTCTGCAGGTATGACAAGGAGAGAGGTGTCTGTCCCCATGTGGTCCCATTCTCATCCCCAGGAACAAACTTCCCAGATCACCCAGGTGGTTTCAGCTTCCTACCTCTACCTGCCTAAACTGACTTTTCCCCCAACTTCTTTCCACTTTTCATCAAACAATCCCTAAGACAGTCCTGGGCAACAGGAAATCCCGTCTCCTCTAAACAGGGCATGCCACTGGACGTGCTCTTACTGGTTCTGTTGCTCTGAGAGGTCTGGGCAAGGACTCGCCTGTCTGCAGGCTCCTGTAACACTCTCCTTCTCTTGCTCAGCAGATGATCAGCCCTGGACCCCTGAGCAGCTCTGGCTGGAGCCACCTGGAGGAAGAGCAGAGACCCAGAGGCCTGCTGTGTGCTGGCAGCTAGAAGAAGCAGAGAGAGACACCAGACTGACCACAAAGCCTTTGGCTCCTTCTTTGTGCCTGCCTCCTCCTGGTCCTGTGAGGCTTGGCAAACAAACACCCAGAGGCAGCTGGGCCTGGGAAGTGCTGAGCTTCTGGAAAACTTGAGTTTGTTATTGTGAAGACTTGCAGAGTGTCCCGAAGTGCTGGACATCCACAAAGGGTGTCAGCATTCTTCTTTCTCATAGGTTTGCTGAAGGAGTTCAATACACCCTGGAAGGAAGGGGGCCGGCTCAGGACCACCCAGAACTCATGTAGCAGCCTTCCAACCCAGCTTTCTGCAGAGACTTCCAGCAAGATTAGCCAGTGTGCACCCTTCTAAGGCCTTTAACTGCTGGGAACCAGTTCAAGATTTTATCTCGCCAGCCAGAGAACCAGAGTCCCACTTCCCATTGCCAGAAAGCTTTTAATAGCCAACTGAGAAATTCTTGGTAAAGAATTCCCAAGTGATAATTGAGAACCTCTTAGGATTCATTTCACCAGAATATATTTCGGGTTTATGCACTCAGATGGCAGGAAGCCCCTCATGGACAAGCAACAGGGATGACCACTCACTCATGGATGTGGGCCTTGCTTCTCTGAGCAGCAAAGTTTTCTACATCCTGTAATTCTGATGTGGCTGGTTGGCAGCAGATGTCTCTTTAATGTTAGGAAAAGTGATTCTGAGCATTATTTTCTGCACGTAGAGTTTATTTTCATATCCATCTGAAAAGCGATGTTTTGTTTTAGCTTTTGTCTTTGAAGTTATCTCCTCTGAAAAGGTCCCTAGGTTTGAGCTTGAATACTTACCTAATGAGTTGGAATGGACTCAATGGCACTGAACAGCAACATTAACCTAAATGGGGGAGTTTGAACCCACCCAAGAGTCCTGGTGTGGCACTGTACGGTAAACACTGGACTCCCAACCACAAGGTTGGTGGTTCAAACCCACCAGCCGCTCCTCAGAAGCCCATACAGGGTCACGCTAAGTCAGAACTGACTCGACTTCACTGAACAACAATAACAAAGCACCACAGAAGAAAAACCTGGCTATCTGCTTCCATAAAGATACAGCCCAGGAGACCCTATGAGGCCACTTTTCTCTGTACCACATGGGGTTGCCATGAACGGGCATCGACTCCACGCAGCAGGTTTGGTTTGGTTTGGGAATGATATTAGGAAGATGTCAGAGCTCGAAAGCCTAGACTCCACATGTGAAGTCTGAGGCCCAAAGGAACAAAGGCTTGGAGAGGGTCACTCACAGCTTGGGGCAGGATGCCTGAACTGTCACTCACACCCTGCTGCCTCAGGTCTTGTGTCTGTCATATTTCTTTACCCAGCTAAGGTGCTAGCCCACAACCCAAGAGCACAGAGATGATCCATGATGTTTCCCCTTAGAGAGGACCCACGATGAGGTGGTGCTTCTTAGCAGCAGACAACAGTCTTTGGTGTTTCTAAACTGGTTACAGCTTGAGAGTAGGGCTCTAGTTATTTCTCAGGGGCCCCCAAAACACTTCTGTACCCAGTTTCACCTCGTTTCTATTGCAAAGGGCATGCTAGGGAGCACTGCTCTTCTGGGGGTCGTGGGACAGCAGCTATTCCCAGATACTGTGATACATGACTTCAGCAATCCGATGGATGTAACCAGAATGGGCTCTGTTGTTCTCAGTGGACCAGGCTGGGCCCAGGCAGGGTGCTTGTTACAGGGGCACCACCCAGATTGGTTCGGAGAATATTGTTCCCTGTGTGGAGCACACCTGTTTCAGATGCCCCCAAACCCCTGCTGCCCCAGCTCTCCAAGACCACACACACAACTCCGCTTAGAGATGAGAGAGTGGGGTGTTCAGGGTTGTCGCTGAACTAGTTTGAAGGGAGAAGCCTGTGTTACGGTGAGCTGGCTAAAGTTGGCCCCTCACTCAGTGTGGGAGATCTGCTTGTTTCTGGACATGATTGTAGTCCTGCCCAGGCAGGATTTGGGGAGACGGATGTAGAAGCCATTGGTGAGCACTTTCAGCATCCAGCCTGCCTGAGATTTCTGTGTGCCACATATGGCTCAAACACAGGTGTTCTCCAAATGGCATTATAATTTGAAATCTGATTAAAAATTGTCTTAAAAGTTCCTTATCAAACATGAAGAGACTTCAAAAAGTTGATGGGGAAATTCCATTAGCTTTGAATTCCATTTCTCTATCCACTTTTTGAAGTCCTTTGTATATGTCTACTTTATGAGTTAAAGGAAGGAAGGAAGAAAAAACAGACACACAAGCGGCTTTAATAAAATTGAAGTTTAATTCCCTTTTACAAAAGATAATCCATTAATAGTCAACAAGTTCTATCAGTTCTCCTCAGAGTCAGGATCCAGGGTCTTTCCATTTGTCTTGTTGCCACCTGGTTCAAGATGGCTGCTAAAGATCCAGCCATTGTATCGACATTCCAACCAACAGAGAGGAGGAAAAGAGGGAAGCAAGTCAACTGCCTTCCCTTAAGGGCATATCCTGGAACACACCTATGCTTCTGTTGTACTTGGCCAGAACTTCATTCCAAGGCCGCTATCTGCAAAGGAATCTAGGAAATGTGGTCTTTTTTCTAGGCAGTCCTGTGCCCAGATAAAAACTGGAGATTTTATTACTGAGGAAGGAGGGGGACAATCAGTTACCTCTGCCCTACCTTCCTTGTGGAGGGTACTATGAAGAGGGATTTTAACACAAGGGCATCCACATTTAGGATTTCAATGTCATGATCCAAGAAAGGTAAGCAGATCAATTGAGATCACACAGCAGATTGGCAGCTTCAGACTTCCAGCTGATGTTCCCAGGGAATATTTTTCTTCTTCTCTGTTTCCTAACTTAAAATAAAAGGCTTCATTCTGAAGGAGAGGGAGCTTGAGCTCCATGGAGGAATTCCATCCCTCACTGGTCTTTAAGCTGCAGGACCATGGCAGGATTAGGTCACGGTGGTGGCAGAAGGCTGTGGGAAGGAGTCTGCATTCACTGGCTGGAAAGTGACCGGCCTGGCACTGCCTCACCTGCCGTCTCTGCTTCTGTGTGTGCACTGACCCTGTCCGTCCGTCTCTGTTTGCCCTGGCATCCTGCACACTGACCTGCCCTTGTCCAGGCTGCACATCTGACCCTGGTGTGTTTCAATTTCAGGAAGCTGTCTGCCGCCATGGGAGCTTCTGGGAGGCGGGACTTCCCCTCCAGGATGGTGCTGGTCATCAGCTGGCTCCTCCTGGCCAGCTTGTCTGGGGCCACATGTACAGGTGAGCCACCTTACACAGCGGGACCACCACATCTCAGTGCCCTTCCATGAAGCAGGGCTTCTGGGGGCCAGAGGAAGGAGCTATGGGGTCAGCGATCCCCGGAAAGTCTCATGCTGAACTTCAGCTTCGTAATTCACAAAACAGTGGATTGTATTAAAACCCAAAGGTGCAAACTCAGTGTCTACAGAGTCCAGGCATGTGACAAACGTGAGTGAAAATGATCAAGGGGGGACTGTGGTCACAGGTCCCCTCCAAAGGGACACTTGCTTCTCAGTCTGCTCAGTGCAGCACCTTCCGAATTTTGAAAAGCCAGAAATCTTCATTTCTAAGTAAAAGTTCCCTACTTTTTAAATGTTGTTGATGAATCTAAGTTTTCAGCTGGAGGGGGGCCAGAAAAAGCACCCCACATATCTGCAAGGCAGCTTGCTACCTCTAAGTCACCTGATCTCCCAGAACTGAGTATGTGAAAGCGTGTTGTAAGCTGGACTGTGCTGGGCGAGACGTGGTCTCTTTCTCCAGTCTTATTAGCTCCAACTTTTTCTCTGACTGATTTTGAATTAACATCCAGCAGCAAAAGGCAGCTTTTCCTAGGCTGTAGGAAACAGGGATCAAATAAGCCAAAAGTTGGGGTGGAAGGTGAGACTTGGGGGCCAAGTTCTCAATTCTGAGTAAGAACTTTGTAATATTATCCCAAGGAACGCCGGTGGCGAAATGGGTTGCCACTCGGGCTGCTAACTGCAAGGTCAGTAGTTTGAACCCACCAGCCGTTCCGTGGGAGAAAGATGAGACTTTCTGCTCCTGTAAAGATTCACAGCCTCGGAAACTCTATAGGAGTCACTATGAGTCAGAATCAGCTCAATGACCCACAGCAACAATATTATCATTGGAGCCCCTGAGTTCTACAAACGGTTCATGTACTTGGCTGCTAACAAAGATTGGAGGTTTACGTTTTTAATATTTCTTACAGCTCTGTAAAAACTGCTACTGTTTCTCGTTGGTTTACTTTAAAAAAAAAATTTTTTTTTATTGTGAATTGAATGGTAGTTTACATGGGAAAGCATCAGTTTTGCACGCATCCTATCGTATTTCATTTCACTGCAATGATTACAATCTCCTCCATGCATCCTCGTTCAACAGTATTTGCTTCTATTTCCTGTTTTGTTTTTATGTACACAAAAACACTCAGGGATAGATAATCATTTAAACAACCAAAGGGCACATTCTACAAGCCTGCCTCTTAGCCACCAGCATACAGCCTTTCTCTTTTCATAAATCTAGAGTCCTCAGCTGCTCCCTCTTTCCATGTCCTCATCTCTGCCTCCATCTCTGGTGCCACTGCTTCTGTGGATGTTGTTGTTGTTATGTGCCGTGGAGTCGTTTCCAACTTACAGCGACCCTGTACAGGGTTTCCGAGGCTGTAAATCTTTACGGGAGCAGAAAGCCGCATCTTTCTCTCATGGACCATCTGATAGTTTCAAACTGCTAACCCTGAGATTAGCAGCGTGATTTGTAGCCACTACGCTCTGGACAGGGTCCCACATTCCATTCCGCTCATGCTCTTCTCCTTTAATGGTCCTAGGGTCCTTTGTTTCTGGAATGTAAGATTAATTTACTCCCTCCTTTATGTTACAAAAATTCGACCTTTACAGTTGTGCCAATCACAATTTGTCATGATAACAATTACTCCCTATTGAATCATAAGAATCTTATCCCCATGTCCTTTCACCAGACCCATCTAGACAAAATGAAAATATTCAGTGGGGATTCTACCTTCCTCCGCACATTCTGGATCTAAACTCCCTCTTGAAAACTTGTAATCCAGCCACTTCATACCTTTATAGTACTGTTTCTCATTGCTTTTGATGCCTTCCTACGATAAGAATATAGGGCTAGACACTGTGTTAAAGTTTGTTTTTCTCAACACACCGATGAAAGGAAATCTCTTTCTATAATCCTAACTAGTGAAATTCCTTTAAGTTGATTCTTTTAAAAATCTTTCTGATCCTTAAGGGACATAGCAGGCAATCAGTATTTAACTTCTGATGCAGTAATTGACAATATTACATAAATTCATTCATTTGTCCTTGAGTTTATGTCTCGAGGTGGCACTGTAGAATAAGCACTGGACTACTAACCACAAATTCAATCGTTCTAAATCCACCAGCCGCTCTTGGAAACTGTAACCATGATTGCTCTGAGTCGGAACTGACCGGATGGCACTTAACAGCAATAACATTCTTGTGCCATTTATTCAATTAACAAACACAAAGGTGATGTTAATGGTATGCCAGATACTGGGTTTGGGTTTGACAAATCCACCTCGGGACCTTGGGGAAGGATAATCAGGCACTACCCTGAGTTTTTCCTACGACATCCTGGCCATCTTTCTTGCCATCTGAGCATGAGCTATTTGGGAAGGAAGTGGGCCCTTTTGTTCCCTCTGATGGTAAAGTCCTGGCTGGTTTGCTCTCAGCAGGCCCATCTGTTCGCTCTCCTTCTCGGGTGGCGTGCCCTCTCCTCAGCACTGAGAGTTGCCACGGTGGAATTTCAGTGGCCACAGAGCCTACAAGGTCAGACTGACCACCTCCACGTCCAGGTGCTGAGCCTGATTCAGACTCCTGTTCTTGCAGTTGGGAAATCAGGGCCGTATGACACCTTGAGCCCTTGTCTGATGGACTGAATGGTACCATCCCAGCATGCCCGTGGCTCCCCACCAGAACCTCTGTTCTGTGCTATGACACACTGGGGGAACTGACATGTCAGGCCCAGGGCTAGCTGGAGGGCAGCCAATCCCCTCTGCTGCAAGCCAGACATGCACTTGACCCTGATTGGAGACAAATGCAGAGATGGGTGTTGACCCTTAGAAGCCCTTCAGTCGAGCAAGAGCTCCAGAGTCTCCACACCATGACCACTCTTGATTACCGAGCAACCTACCATCTGCCTGCAGCTCTGATCTTGCATGAAAATGGAAAGTCCCAGATGAGCAGCCCCGCAGTGTTTCATCTTATTGCACAGCCTGAGCCCCTGAGGGCTTACGAAAGCTGGGATAGCTGCCTGAGCAAAACTCCAAGAAAAGTGAAACTCTCTTCTTAATGAGAGACCCAGGCTCTTCGTTAGGTCTGGAGAACGAGGGAGGACTTCTGTGAGGATGGGAGCGAGCTCAGGCAGCTAACATGCAATGAGCATGGGCAGCAAAGAGGAGGTCAGTCGCAACTTCCTGATGGGCACAGAAGATGGACTCAGGAAGTCCCGGTCAGACAGTGTATGGAAAGAGACCGATGCCTTCTAGTTCCCTCTGAGAGAAAAATACAAGATAGGTACCCTCATCCCAGAGATGACTGGACAGTAATCAAGCAACATGAGAACTGGCATGCCAGGAATCTCACTGAAGCCAGACTCCTCCTGGGCTCCCAGCCCCATGATGTGGACATTAGTCACTGGGTCTACTTTGCAGCAGAGACTGGCTTCTTGGTCTCCCTGCCCAGGGCCCAAGCTGGGGACTGTGCCTCCTTCCATTCCTTCCACAACTTTTCACAGTGTCATCATCCCCTAAAATCTTTTCATTGGTTTTGATGCCTTCCTACAATAAGAAGGTTGTTGTTGTTGTTAAGTGCCGTGGAGTCAGTTCCGACCCATAGCGACCCTGTACAGGGTTTCCGAGGCTATAAATCTTTACGGGAGCAGAAAGCCTCATCTTTATCCCATGGAACAGCTGGTAGATTCCAACTGCTGACCTTGCAGTTCGCTACCAGAGCTCCTTACAATAAGAATATAGAGCTCTATTTTGTTACAGTTTGTTTTTCTCAAAACATGGGCTTGCTGGCCCCACGCCTTCCCATCTCTATTCCCCACCCAAGTTATTGAAAATCTGTAGAGTTTTGATACAGTAAAAATCTTTATGGGAGCAGACAGCATTGTCTTCCACAGGCCTCTAGTGAGAGAAAAAGGAGGACATCGGGGTCTGTTCTCTGAGCAATAGACTCTCTCTCTCTTACCCATTGCCTCTTCCCACCTCTTTCTCTCTGTGGATTTTTCTTTGCTATTACAGGAGATGCTTTCCATTTCTGAGGCAGCCCTCCCCCCTGCACTCATCTGTAGCACACTGCTGGAGTAGAGCCAGGTCAGCCAGATGAGCATGGAAGGCCCTCCCAGGGCCTCTGTTAGCGCCAGCAGCAAAGGCCTTCTGCAACCCCCACTGCAGGACTTTTTAGGTTCAACTAATTATTCACACCCTTGGCCACTCTTGGCCTCAGACTCACAGTGGTCAGGGCAGTGCTGAGTATTTTCTTTCCATGGAAGAGCCTTAGCAGCAACCCACACGGTTATGCAGAAACCATTCTCTTTGGTTTCCCAGGCAACAGCTGAGGTAAGAGGACATGTGACTGTCAGTGGGCAGGTGTGGGAACCAGCCTGGCTCAGAAGCCTCAGTCCACAGTGGAGTCAGTGCTCGTAACGACTCCAGTGGCATAACTTCTATCATTGCTAAATGGACTTGCCCAGTTACAAGAGCCATTGTGCTCAGGGAAGCCCAAAGCATGACCACCCCACCAGGTCCTTACTGTTCGTTTATTGTCTCTATTCACTTCTGAGGCCACTTGCCAATCATTTGTTACAAGCAGTGTTGCTTGGGAACATAACTCATATACTAACCATCTTCCTCAGGTTTCTAGGGGAACAGAGCTAGAACATTAACCAAAGTTCAAATTCTCATGCAGAAGTGGAAACAGTTTTCTTAACTCTTCAAGCACTATTTTCCATAGGACAGGATGGTGTGGAATCCAAGTAATCTAGGTAGATCATGACATAACTTTAGATCATGGAATGTCCTGAATGTCATCTGCTTACAGTTCATTTTATAAATGGGGAAACTGAGTCCATAAAAAGAAAACGACTTGCCCACAGGTAAATGATCTGAAACCACACAAAGAAAATGACCTGCCTACAGGTAAATGATGAACTAATGAAAGAGATCATTTACCTTTGGGCAAGTCATTTCTTTATTGTGGACTCAGTTTCCATGTTTATAAAATGAACTGTAGACAGATGATGCCTCAGAACATTCCAAGATCTAAAGTTACGTCATGATCTACCTAGATTACTTGTATTCCACACCATCCTATCCTCTGGAATAGGATGTTTAAAGTGTTTAAAGAGTTAAGAACACTAGATGGAGTCCTGGTGTGACGCTGAGGGTTAATGTTGTTGTTGTTTTGTGCTGTGGAGTCGGTTCTGACTCATAGTGACCCTGTACAGGGTTTCTGAGGCCATACATCTTTACAGAAAGCCTCATCTTTCTCATGCGGAACAGCTGGTAGTTTCGAACTGATGACCTTGAGGTTCACAGCCCAATTTGTAACCACTACGCTACCAGAGCTTCTTGAGGGTTAATGTGCTGGACCACAAAGTAGGTTTGAACCACAAGGTCGGTGGTTCAAGCTCACCAGCTGCTCCTTGGAAACCTTATACAGGGTTGTTATGAGTCGGAACTGACTCGAGCACACTTAACAACAACAATAATGAAAAAGATTGGGCTGGATCTCAGGGTTCCTGAATTCTGTATCAAACGGCATCTCACTGCTGTTTAAAGCCTGGATTTTTAGCTTAAGAGGAGTCAGAGTCTATGGGTGATGCAAATGGTTAAAGTGTTGGCTGCTAATCAAAAGGCTGGAGGTTTGAATCTACCCAGAGGCACCTCAGAAGAAAGGCATAGAGATCTGCTTGCCAAACCTCAGCCATTGAAAACCCTGTGGAACACAGTTCTCCTCTGACATATTTGGGGTAGCCATAAGCTAGAATGGACTCAATGGAAACTGGAGAGAGGAGGCTGGGCTGGGAGCCCTCTGGTGGTCTGCAGCAATCTTTGCTTGGTGAGGCTGGTGGGTGGGAGCCATGGCATCTCTCTGTCCTTGGCAGTGACAACTGAGTGTCCTGACCAGAACCCTACGCTGCAGCCCTGGAGCCCTGGCCATGACGAGGACCACCGTGTTCACATAGGCCGGGACAAGATGCTCCTGCTTACCTCCTCAGCAACCGTCTACTCTATTCACATCTCAGAAGGAGGTAAGCCAAGGTGCTCCTCAAACCTTCCTTGTCTTGAGCCTCTGAGATGGAATGCAGGCTTCCCTAAGTTCAGAGAGACAGAACAAATATCTCACACTTTGGGTTACAGTCAGAGAATCTGGCTCTTTGAGGTATCCATCGTAGCTTGTCAGAGAGCCAATCTTAGCACAGGAAGCATTTCGAGTAGAAATCCTTGTTGGTGTTCTGAGTCATCCTGCATATTCTACCTTTGGATGTTTGATCAATGAATGCCAGGTAGGCTTATTTATACCTTGTAAGAAAGAAAGAAGAAAATAGTAATTCCATGAGTGGACAGTGGGCATTGAAATGTTCAAAAGATGCGCCATCTTGCCTGCCCAGATGCGATGGATGATGAGGGAAGCTGCCCTTGGCTCTACTACAGCCTCATCCTAATGCTTGTGTTCTGCTACCTCTCCTCTTCCCTTCCTGTTCAGGAAAACTAGTCATTAAAGACCACCAAGAACCCATTACTCTGCGTACCCGACACATCTTGATTGACAGTGGAGGGGAGCTGCATGCTGGGAGTGTCCACTGCCCTTTCCAGGGCAATTTCAGCATCGTTTTGTACGGAAGGTGAGTAAATAGCTTCCATGGGTCCAGTGCGATTCTTGGATCTGATGGGAAGGAACATTTCCAGAGGAAGGAGGGAGGCAAGACGGCAGGACTGTAGTGTAAGACAGGCATCGTCATTAAGTCCTGCCAGAACGCAATCATGAACAAGACAGACACGGTGGTTTGGATGAAGTACATGAGGCATTTTATTTATTGTGGCGTAGGAGCTGTGATTACGTTACTGAAGCCCCTGCCAACTACTCAGATGCCTTCCACTCATGGCATGGTCAGGGAGATTCTGTAAGGCTTTACTTAATAGGTTATGATGGACAAGATCAAGAAAAATTCCAGGCAGTATTTAACACTGGTCGTGTTCCCTCTTTAAGCAAATGAGAATTTTAGAAAATTATAGCCAAGAAGAGTATGCAGTACCTGTCTGGGTGATCCCACATCAGATATGGACCACAGTGCAAGACAGTCACACTGGAAGGAGAAATGCCAACACATACACTATAAGCAATTCAGCTTGATTTTTATTTTGAAGCAGGGGACTTCATTTTGGTTGGGTTTAGGAATAACTGGGTGCGAATACTATCTTTATTGATTTCATTGACCAGCAACAGTGTAGCTGAATCTGTAAGAGCTACTGTGGAAAACAGGGAGCAGGGATGGTCCCTCTGGGTCCCGCACCTGGTCAAGATACATGTCAGCTGACTCTGAGGAGCTGTTCTCTCTCTTAGAGCGGATGAGGATGCTCAGCCAGATCCTTACTTTGGCCTGAAGTACATAGGAGTTGATAGAGGAGGCACCCTTGAATTACATGGACAGAAAAAGCTCTCCTGGACATTTCTGAGCAAGACTCTACACCCAGGTGGCATGGAGGAAGGAGGCTATTTTTTCGAAAGGAGCTGGGGTCACCGCGGAGTCATTGTTCATGTCATTGACCCCAAGTCGGGCACAGTCATCCATTCTGACAGGTAAGCTTTGCCTTCACTTGAACACACACCCCTTTGTTCAACGTGGCTGTACTGAACACATGCTCTAGACAGATGCTGTTAAGGTGCTGGGAGTACCACAGAGAATGACACAGACAAAGAAGAAAGATACTGCCCCCCCACCCCAAGGAGTCATAGTCCTTCCCCGATGTTTGCCTGATAGTGACAAACACACACCGACACACAGCATAGTTTCAGATTGGGACTCGTGGTCATAGGGAAAAAGACGGGAAATGATAGAGCGTATGGTAGGGAAGACCACTTCAGATAGGATGGTCAGGAGAAGCCAGTGTGAGGAAGAACCATCGGAATTGAGAATTTCAGAGTCAAAACGAGTCAGGGAAAGTATTCAACAAAGCATTCATGCAAAGTATGTGTGGCGGTGAGACAGGCATAGTGGTGTCCCAGCAGAAAAGAAGGGCCACCAGAGAGGCTCAAGTACAAGGAGTGCTGGAAGAACGATGCACTAGAATGTTGGAGATGTAGACAAGGGAAAGAAGCTCTGGTGATGCTGTGGGTTAAGTGCTGGGCTGCTAACCACAAGATCAGTGGTTCAAGCCCACTAGCTGCTCTGAGGGAGAAAGATGAGGCTATCTGCTCCTGCAAAGACTTATAGCCTTGCAAATCCTAAGGAACTCGAACTGTAGGATTGCTGAGTCAGAACTGATTCAGTGCCACCGGATATGGACAGGCAAGGGCAGGCATGGGGCCTAGAATGCCATGATAGGGGCGGCATTTATTCTAAGTGGTTTGAGAAGCCATTGAAGAACTTTAGGCAAGGGGGTGCCACCTGATTTAAAAGACTATCCTGGCTGCTGTGTAGACAGTGAATTGCTTGTGGAGGGCAAATGCAAAACCAGCTGGGATGGAGATCTGGGCAAGAGATGGAGAGAAGTGGGGGACTTGAGAGACATTTGGAGGCAGATGGATAAGTGTCCCAGACAGCTTGTGCTGCAGCTGGGCACGTCTCCAGAGGCTGCCCCAGGTCGCTCCTAGGGAAAGGACACAGCTGGGGTCGGAAGGTAGAGACCGAGCTATCCTGGAGTTTCTGGAGGAGGGAGACATGGAAATCCTAAGAAGGGGCCTGATCTGGGCGTGTCAGTGTGAGGTAGGAGGGGAGCAACCGTGAGAAGGGATCAGACTGGGCCGAGCTGATGTGTTTGCTGGTGTACACAGGACAGCTAAGCTTTGCCCTCTGGTGAATATTAGTAACAATCATTCAATCACTTTACCTGCCACATATGGTTAAATCTTCATAGAAATCCTGTAGAGGAGCAAATTCTGCTATTATCCCCATTATACAGATGAAAATGCTGAGACTTAGCTCAGAGAGACAAAGTTTGCTTACAGTCACAGCGTAGGTAAATGTGGGAAATGGGATTCAAACCCAGTTCTGTGTGGACCCTTACACACTGGATTGCTGGTAACAACCATCTGCCTTTACCTGAGGCTGGGCAAGCCTAAACCCACAGGTAGCAATTGTTGTCAGAATGAACATGACTAAAGCAAAGCATGCCAGAAAGCCTCCACCTTCATACAAAAGAGAACAAACTCCTCAATCGCGTGCTGATTGCTTGGCACACTTCCTAAATAAGTACAGAGGCATTTACTTGCAGCTATCCAACTTCAAACCTAATTCATCATCGAACTGGATGAAAAGAAACAATCCAGCCAGCTGCTCTGGAGATTACAAAGACAGAATGCTTACTCACTTCATCTCTCTTTGGCTTAAAGCGTGTACCAGCAACCTAGAGAGTCTGATAGCTAATTGTGTGTGAGTCAATAAAGAAACTTATAATACACATACACACACACACACACACACACACGTGGTGCCTGGATGGCACAAATTATTAGGTGCTTGGCTGCAAACCAAAAGGTTGCCAGTTCGAATCCCTCCAGAGGCACCTTGGAAGAAAGACCTAGTGATCTACTGCCATAAGGTCACAACCATTGGACATGCAGGTCAGCTTGTGACTAGCAGTGAGGATTAGATTGAATGGAGAGAAAGGATTGTATGAGCAAAGGCAGGAGTGGGCCTGGTCACTGGGCATCCAGATGTGCTTAACTTGTAGAACGCAATTCTTGAGGAGTGGTAGTGGAGAATGACGGGACACAGGCCGGGTGGGACGAGCTTATGCAAACCGCTGCAAACCAATTTGAGGTCTCAGAAGCACCTACCCAGCCACCCCCACACCACTATCATTTTTCCTTTCCAAATTCTTGGCTATCCATGCTGGCGCCTTTTTTCTAGAAACATTATAGAACTATTCAGTGATGTGAGGTTCCAAGACAAATTCTTTTGTCGTTTCCATTGTAATTACACAAAATCTTTATACTTACTTTGGAGGAGAATTGATACCTTTATAGAATTGTGTCTACCCTTTTGAAATTCTTCTTACCAGCGGAACAGCGTTTTTGGAAATCTGTATTTCATGGATGTTTTATGTGAAAGAGGGTGGACATGTCTTTGTCAAATTAAAGTGATCATTTCTTGTTACAGCAAATGCTTCTTTCTTTAAAAATCACTGTCCTTAGGATCTTTGGATGGCATGTTATAATAATAAGGTGGACTTGGTCATAAGTTGTTGTTATAATAAAATGGGTTTTGTTATAATAAGATGGGCTTTGATCTCTCTTTTGTGGTTACTGTAGGACAACTAAAATGCTCTCTGTCTGCCCTTTTTAGGTTTGACACCTACAGGTCTAAGAAAGACAGTGAACGTCTGGCCCAGTATCTGAATGCCGTGCCCGATGGTAGAATTCTCTCTGTCGCGGTGAATGATGAAGGATCTCGCAATCTGGACGACACTGCCAGGAAGGCAATGACCAAGCTGGGCAGCAAGCACTTCCTACACCTTGGATTCAGGTACTTCGCACCAGCCCCTTTTCCTCCTTGAGCTCTAGACCGCTGAAGCAAGTCAGGCCACCTGGAATTGACTTTCCCCTTCTCTATGCCTTCGAGGCCCTGGGTGGGGCTCTCGGCTGCTAACAGGAACGTTGGAGGTTTGAGTCCAGTCAGAGGTACCTCAGAAGAAAGGCCTGGCTATCTACTTCCTAAGAATGAGCCATTAAAAAATCCCTAGGGAGCACAGTTTGACTCCAGTACACATGGAGTTGCCATGAATCAGCATCAACCAATGGCAACTGGTTTTTGTTTTTTTTTTGTTTTTCCATTTCTCCAGGCCCCCACTGCTCTAAGTGGTGACAAAGGAAGATGCAGACACAATCTATGCATTCGGCATGTTTGGAGCTTTGTCTTGGGTTGAATTGTGTCTCCTCAAACTATATGTCAAGTTGTGTAGGTCATGATCCCCAGAATTGTGTAGTTATCCTTCCTTTTGTGATCCAGTGTAATTAACCCCCATTTTGTGATGTGTTGTAAATCCTAACCTAGTGAATTACTAGTTGGGCTACTGACTAACTACAAGGTCAGCAGTTCTAATCTACCAGCCGCTCTTCTGGAAAAAGGTGAGACGCTCTGCTCCCATAAAGGTTTGCAGCCTCAGAAACTCTATACAGGGTCACTATGAGTCAGAACCAACTCCATGACAAGTGTCCACCACCGTATATTAATAAGACAGGGTTAGTGTAGGGTGTGTCTCTAGTGGCTGTCACATCTTTCCTCTCAGGAGATTGGAGGGGAGGGAAAGGGACCTCGCTACAACCAAGACAGAAGAGCCAGGAGCAAAATTCATCCTTTGGATTCAGGGTCCCTAGACCGAGAACCTTCTAGACCCAGGAGAAGAACGATGCCAACACACAAGGAGATCTCCAAGGAAAACTGGGTCCACAGATGTTGAAAGAATACAAGGGCCTTTTCCAAGAGCCAGTGCCCCGAATTTGGACTTCTAGCTCTGAAATTGTGAGAACTAGATTTCTGTCTGCTAAAGCTATCCACTTGTATTTCTGTTATAACAGAATACTAAAACAGGCTTCTTCTTTTTTTTAAAAAAAAAAAAAAGTTTTTTGTGTGAATTGAGTGATAGTTCACAAGGGGGAACATCAGTTTTACACTCATCATTTCATTGCAATGATTACAATCTCCTCTGTGCATCATCATTCAACAGTATTCACTTCTAGTCCCTCTGTTTTGTTTTGTGGTTTGTTTGTTTGTTTTGTTTTGTTTTGTTTTTTTGGGGGGGTACACAAAAACAATTAGAAATATGTTAACATTTAAACAACCAAAGCACACATTCTGGAAGCCTGCCTCTTGGCCACCAGCACACAGCTTTTCTCTTTCCATGAGTCTGGAGTCCTCAGCTGCTCTATCTCTCCATGTCATCATCTCTGCCTCTGGTGTCACTACTTCTCTGGATAGGGTCCTACATTCTGCTCAGCCTCTTCTCCCTTGGTGGTCCTAGGGTCCTTTATTCCTGGGCTGTAAGATTAACTACTCCCCTGTTTTTGTTACAAAACGTTTTCCTTTACAATTGTGACAGTCACAATTAGTCATGATGACAATTACTCACTATTGAGTCATAAGAATCTTATCCTCATCTCTTTTCAACAGACCCATCTAGACATGATGAATATTATTCAGTGGGGATTATACCTTTCCCTGCATACTCTGAAACTAAACTCCTTCTTAAAAACTTGTAATTCAGTCACTTTCTGCCTTTAGAGCCCTCCCATTTTAGGTAACCAATATCTAAGTTGCCCGTCACTATCAACCCTGTATACAGAGGGGATAGGATTGATCCTTGATGTGAAGACTCCTTCCCTCTCAGTTGGTATTTTGAACTACTATATCCATAAGTATAGGTCAAGTTCATTGAATTTTACCAATGTACACTTGCTTCCTTTATCAAAAAAAATTTTCTTTTTAGCTTCCTCTAGTTGAGTTCTGATCGTCAAGCTATCGAGGCTAGGTCACATGGGTACTATCTGCAAGTTTGGGCATTCTTGTGCATCTCCCCTCACTTCATATCAGCTGGATGCTTCATTCTCAGCTCTACCCCTCTGTGGCTATGTCCTTGTCCACAGGCTCAGGTGTCCTCAGGTTTCATCACACTTCAGACCAACCAACCCTTCCTCTTCTCTCTCTCATCTCCAGGTCAGTGGGAGTCTATGGACTGTGGTTGAACTCAACTCATTTCTTCATTGCTGCCTTTCTCCCTCTTCCACTCACCAGTAGACCAATGTGGTCATCAGCAAGCTTACATGCCTGTTCACGTGTTCCCTTTGAGTTTCCATTTTGGAGGGGGGTTTGTCCTGAAGGGACTTGATTGCTTGCTTCGATGGCTCCCCAGCAAACAACTTGCTTTAAAACAGGCTTATTCTTAAAGAGAGTGGAGCGTTCTTTTTGCATTTAAATTTTTCTACGGTGGTAAAATGTGTATAACAAGAATTGTCATTTTAACCACTTTTAAATGTAGAGGTCAGAGGCACTGGTTACATTCACCATGCTGTGCAACCTTCAGCACTACCTATGTCAAAAAGTACTGCTACAAAGTCACAAAACCCTTTATCAAAACAAAGCCGTGAAACTGTTGTTTCTCCACCTCTCCTCTGCTAAGCCCATCCACAGCTGAAGGCAGTGTTTCCATCTCTCTGATCCTTCACTGAGCGAGTTCAGCATCTTTGCTTTACACCGTATCATAATGGCAATTTGGGCATCTTCAAGGGATTCAAATTATGTTGCTTTGAGATATTCATTGAGTTTGTGAACAAAAAGAAATCTGAAGGGGCCAGATCCAGGTTTTAATGGTGGATGGATAAGGTTTCCCAACAAAGTTCTCCTAGGACAGTCCTGGCTACCCTCGAAGAATGAGTAGGCACAGTGTCATGATGGAAACGAATTCCTTTGCACCACTTTCCTGGCCTTTTTCTCCCTACTGCAGCTTCAATTTTTGTAAAATTTATTCATAATAAATCAGCATGATTATCCTATATGCCTCAAGACTACCCCTTTGGAATCCAGAAAACACAACATCACTATAACCTTCTGAACTGACATCTCTGCCTTGCATTTAACTGGCCCATCAGAGCCCCTTGGAAGCTACTGTTTTGATTGGACCTTATTTTGAAGGCACCCTAGTGAGACTAAGACAAGCATATCGCTGAGAGAACTTGTCTGGAGCTATCCGTGGACTGCAGAGCCACACTTAAGCACGTTTTGTTTGGCATAAACCTGTGCATGTATGAACTGAAACCCAAGTAGCAATACATTTGACTTATCCATATTTCTAAAACATTTTCTTCATCTGTAATAGAAACTCTAGCCAATGACTCCCCACCTCTACTGGTCCCTGGTATCCACTAAAAAACTTTGGCTTTTATGCATTTTCCTGTTCTAGATAGTTCATACAAATATCTATAATGTAAGATCATACAATATTTGTCTTTTGTATCTCATTTACTTCACTCAGCATTAGTGTTTTCGAGGTTCTTTCATATCATATATCAGAATTGTCAGAACAGAACAAGGGAACACTGAATGGTTTATATTAGGAAAGGTGTGCACCATGGTTGTATTAGGAAAGGTGTGCACCATGGTTGTATTCTTTCACCATACTTATTCAATCTGTATATTGAGCACATACTCTGAGAAGCTGGATTACATGAAAAGAACTTGACATCAGGATTGGAGGAAAACCCATTAACAACCTGTGACATGCAGGTGGTATACCCTTGCTTGCTGAAAGTGAAGAAGAATTAAAATACTTGCTGATGAAGATCAAAGACCATAACCTTCCATATGGGTTGCACCTCAATATAAATATAAAGAAAACAAAACTCCTCACCACTGGACCAATAAATAACATCAAGATAAATGGGGGGAAATTGGAATTGTCAAAGACTTCAGTTTGCCAAGCTCAACCATCAACACTCAACTGCTTCCATAAGCAGCAGTCAAGAAATCAAATGGCATGTTGCATTGGGCAAATCTGCTGTACAAAGACCTCTTTAAAGAGGTCAAGAGCAAAGATGTCAGTTTGAGGACTAAGGTGCACCTGACCCAAACCATGGTATTTTCAGTATCCTCATATGCACGTGAAAGTCGGACAGTGAATAAAGAAGACTGTGGAAGAAATTATGCGTTTGAGTTATGGTGTTGGAGGAGAATATTGAAAGTACCATGGACTGCCAAAAGAACAAACAAATCTGTGTTCAAACCCACCAGCTGCTCCTCAGAAACCCTACACAGAATCATCATGAATTGGAACCAACTCAATGGCACTAACAACAACAATGACGTCGCAAGTATGTCAGGAACTGTTGTGGGGAATAAGGTCATAATCTACACAAAATACTTGCCATGGTACCTGGCACAGAATAAGCACTCAGTGAATGTTAACAATTACTCCTTATGAACTAAGAGTCGCGAGAAAGTCTGAGGCTTACCTTGTTTTGTCAAAGACATCTACACAGGTAGAGTAAATAGGCCGACAGAAATTGCATATTCATCTCTTATTTATATGTTTTGTGTGCCCTGAGCTGTTTTTGATTCATAGCAACCCTATCGTACAGAATGGAACTGCCCTAGAGGATTTTCTTGTCTGTAATCTTTTGTTGTTGTTAAATGCCCGCGAGTAGATTCCCGCTCATAGCAATCCTATTAAGGGTTTCTGAGGCTTTCAATCTTTGCGGAAGCAGAACACCTCATCTTTCTCCTGCAGAGCGCTGGTGGACTCTAATTGTGGACCTTGTGGTGTTCATAGTCCAGTGCTTATCCTATGGAGCCATTGTTGTGGTGGTGGTTATGTGGTTATGGGAGAAATTATGTGCTGATGGTGGGACACTAGAGAGCAAAGGACAAGAAGCTCAAGTGGAGTTCAAGTGCAGACTAGAATGAGAGCAAGCAGGCTCCCCATTCAGGAACCAGTAGGTTCAAAGGTCCAGGGGCGATCGTGGCTATTTTGAAAGAGTTGGAAGAGTGCAGGCCACAGCAGGGTCTGCTAGAGACTGAGGGATGAGAGATATGTCTGGAGAGGCAGGAACAGGGTGAGGCGGAGCCTTGTCCTTTGTGCAAAAGCCTGGTCTTCATCCTACAGGCAGTGGGGAGCCATTGAAGGATGTTAAGCAAGAGCATGACACAGTCAAATCCCCAACCTCAGTTAAACTTACTTTCAATAGAAGAGATCAAAATACCAACAATGAAAGATATTGGTGGGGGGAGACAAAAATCTGTTCAGACCCCATTGTAAAAGACAAGCTACATTAGGCATCGTGGAGAGACGAAAACAGGTGCAAAAGGCTCCCAGCCCTATAGCAGCTGGCATTATAATGGAAGAAAGACATATTCTAAAAGTTGCTAACCTCCCTTTTCTCCTGCCCTTCTCTTCAAGAAGTGTAAACCCCCTAGGGTTGTTACATTGTCATTGTTGTTGTTAAGTGCCGTGGAGTTGGTTTCAGCTCATAGTGACCCTGCACAGGGTTTCCGAGGCTGTAAATCTTTATGGGAACAGAAAGCCTCATCTTTCTCCCGCGGAACGGCTGGTGGTTTCGAACTGCCGACCTTGAGGTAAGCAGCCTGTTTCATGAATGCCATCTCTTTGGTTCATGGAGTCCTGTTGGCAGTTCAAATCTACCAGCCGGTCCTCAGAAACCTTATACTGGGTCACTGTGAGTCGGAAGCAATTTAATGACACTTAACAACAATAACTGGGTTCATAATGACCTGTGTAGGGTTTCCAAGGAGCAGCTGGTGGGCTTGAACTGTAGACCTTGTGATTCGCAATTCAGTGCTGATCCTACAGTGTCACATTATTAGCCTCTGGCATTTTCCTCAAGTTCAACACAAACGATGCTGGGCCTGAGAGAAATTACCTTTCTCTCTTGGAACATGTTTTTCTAAGGGAACTTGCTTCAGAACAGTAGCTCTCTTGACTTGTTTGTTTATTTGTGATTTATGGCCCATGGACTGCCAGAGTGGAGCTGAAGAAGCTCACAATAAGCAAACATCATCAAGCCAGACCATTAGAAAACCCAGAGCAGGGTTGGCAAAGAGAGACTGTTGTTTTTCTAAAGAAGAGAAGCCAGTTGAGTGAGCCAATTTCCCCCAGACAACGGGAGGGATGCTCCTCAGTAGATACTCCGTTCAGGTTCAAACACATAAGGGACTTTATTTTTTGGTTTTGTTTTGTGTTGTTTCAGACACCCTTGGAGCTTCCTAACTGTGAAAGGTCATCCCTCTTCTTCGGTTGAAGACCATATTGAATATCACGGTAATGAGTGGTTGGCTGGAGTCCTGATTCTTTCCAATGTCTCACTGAACAAGAGAATCGGGGTCTTTCTGAATGTCCCACTGCCCTCAAAACATGGCCGATCCATTTCCCAACACCCAGTTGAATAACCATCTGCTTAATTGGCCATGTTCCCTGAAAGTAGCAAAGGTCAGGACTAATTCAACATCAATAGCTTGATACTTTGAAACAATAGCTTTGGATACTTATATGTCTAAATACTTCCACTGGCTTCATTCAAAGCAAATGACGCAGGAAAGAGGAGACCTGGGTCAGACAGTAGGGGTCATACAAGTATTTTGAGCTAAAAAGCCACTCTGGACTGACCTTTATTATCACCATGTAGTAGCAGACAGCGTCCTCTGTCCTCTGTCCAGTGAAGGTTATTGGAGGAGTTCTGCTGCTTCTATTCCCAGGGATAATTCATGAGAAATTATGGGACTCGAGAAATCTGGATTTGATAGAGCAGTGAAACTAACCCTTCAAAATTGAAACAAAAGAAGGGACAGTCATTTGCTTACTAAGTACAAGAAAATTTGCTTAGAACTTCTTTTTTTTTTTTTTTTTTTTAAATAAGAAACGTCTCAAGATCCATGAGTGTAGGAGGTTTTCGTGCCTTTTAATTGCACCCTTTGGAATTGGAGGGTCCACGTGGGTGCTAAAGCCTCTGGTCTTTTTGACAGGACACCATGGCTCTGCTGCTGCCCGAGTATTCAAGCTCTTCCGGACAGAGCATGGGGAATACTTCAATGTTTCCTCATCCAGTGAGTGGGTACAAGGTGAGCGTGTGGGAAGGTGGTGAAGTCTAACCATGGGATGAACCTTGTCTCTGCAGAGTAAGGGTGTTCTTGCACCAATTGTTATTACTGTTGGTTGCCATTGTGTCGACCCCTGGCTCATGGAGACCCCATGCACAATGGAACGAAACACAGCTCGGTCCTGTGCCAGCCCATGAGAGTTGGAAACTGGACCATTGTGATCCATGAAGTTTTCACAGGCTGGTTTTTGGAAGTCGATGCCAGGTTTTCTTCCTAGTCCATCATAGCCTGGAATCTCCACTAACCTGTTCAGCATCATAGCAGCGTGCAAGCTTCTGCTGACAGATAGGTGTTGGCTGCTCATGACGTACATTAGCCGTGAACTAAGCACGGGTCTCTCTTACGTTGTTGTTGTTAAGTGCTGTCGAGTCGGTTTTGACTCATAGCGACCGTATATGGGGTTTTTGAGGAGCAGCTGGTGGGTTTGAACTGCTGGCCTTGTGGTTCACCGTCCAGTGCTGATCCTACAGCACCACATTCTACCACTGACCCCATTCTTGCACCAATAGGACCTCTTAACTGTAACATGGTCAACTAAAATTTGCAACTGAAAAACTGCCATTAGTTAATCAAAGCCACATTGGTGAGTCGTTTTCCAAAGAATGCTTCCCTCTTTTTAAGATTTGAATTTCACTAGTTTGGTTCAATGGCACTAAGTTTAGTTCAAAGGACACTTTTTTAAATTCCCTATTTTATTTCTTAAACACAATCTGATACAAATGTATCTTAACATGTTAGGATGTGAAAAAAGCTGGGTGGATATATAGATGTTATCATACAGAATATCTGTTAAGACTAAGCAATGATGCTGAACAGAAGAAATAGGAGTGGGCTTCAAAATGGTCATGGAAACATTCTTTTCATTCTATTTTCCCACAAACTGTTTAAAGCCCCCCTATACATGTGCTCTCCAGCATAGAAATGCTAAAGCAAATGGAAGAAATGAGGAGGTCCATGAGCTGAACAGAAAATCGCAAAGATCAGCTCGAGAAGATAAAGCCAAATATACAACAAAATGTGCAAAGATCTGGAATCAGAAAACCAAAAAGGAAGAACACGCTCAGCATTTCTTAGGCTGGGGAAACTGAAGAAAAAATTCAAGCCTCAACTTTCGTTATTGAAAGATTCTCTGGGCAAATTATTGAATGATGCAGAAAGCATCAAGCAAGAGAAGATGGAAGGAATACACAGACTCATTGTACCAAAAGGAAATGGTTAATGTTCAGTCGTTTCAAGAGGTAGCACATGATCAAGAGCCAATGATACTGAAGAAGGAAGTCCAAGGTACATTGAAGGAATTGGCAAAGAACAAGGCACCAGGAATTGATGGAATAAAAATTGTAATCTTTCAAGAAAGTGAGGCAGCACAGGAGGCACTCAGTCATCTCTGCCAAGAAATTTGGAGGACAACTATCTGGCCGACTGATTGGAAGAGATCCATATTTGTGCCCATTCCAGAGAGAGGTGATCCAATGGAATGCAGAAGTCATTGGACAATCTCTTTGCTATCCCATGCGAGTAAAGTTTTACTAAAGCTAACACAGAAATGGCTGCAAGCATACATTGACAGGGAACTTCCAGAGGTTCAAGCCGGATTCAGAAGAG